ACCAACTTCATCAATGTGAAAAGCAGCAAAGCTCTGGCTAATAACCCATCTCCTTCTTTAATGCTTACATGGAGCAGACTAGCCACAGACAGAACCACCACCAACACAAACCGAGCACTGAGGGAAGAACAGGACTGGGGTGGGGCAAACACTTCTGGGGAAGATGTAATCACTGCAGCCAGCATGCAGAAGCACTGCGCTGAGATAAGGCTGAGGACAAGCTCTAAGCACTAATCACAGCTTTTTATCCCCGAAAACTCTTAAATCCCTATTGCAAGGGCTCTTAATTTCAAGGCTGAATTAATCATCTATCTAATCTAATGATAGGAGAAATCTCAAAGCAATTTTGTTTGAAAACTGTGATGTCTTTACCCTTCTCCTTAGGCTTCATGACTGTCCACAGAATAACTACTTCAGAGCTCAATTCATGGGCACAGCCTTCTGTTGAAATAGATAGGAGTTTATTAACTTTGACATCTACCACGAAGCCCTGTTTCATCACATAAGTATCTTAGAAACTTTCCAGATCTACACAAAGGAAGAAGAAGAAAAAAAAACAACAAGCAGTTCTCCTAGGTACCAGTTACTGCTGTCATTTTAATTGAGGGATCATCAATCTCATGAAATTTTGCACAATTCAATAAAAACATTCATTTCCGTGAGCGCTGAAAGTGAGCCACAAATTCCCCATTGCAGCACACAGTCCATCCATGAACTTTCTCCCCCTGCCCCACAGAGTCAGTTTGGTTCTTAACACCACATTCAGCCCAGGAGGACACTTAGTACTTGTCAGTTTCTCTAACGCAATCATCTTAAATACTGATGTCCATTAAGTTTAAAGATCTCAGGACCATTAAACAGACCTCTTAAATACCAAGTCCCACGCGGCGTAAATCTCTCTGGCAGTTTCCCCACTGGAAAGCTGCCTTGAATTCAGATCTGATCTCTATCAGGATAAGATAGTGATGCTCTTTACACACTCCTGGATAACAGCACAGAGCGCACACAGTTCTGTGGGCACAACATGCGAGGCAGCACAGCTGTCGGTAAGCGGCTTCAGGGAGGGTTCAGCAAGCTGTTGGGAGATCTCAGAAGGAAACTCGCTTCCGAACAATTTTATCTTTTAACAGCTTCCTAATCCCCTCACCCTGCTCCCACAGCTTTACCTTTCGGAGCAAACCACATCCCCCACCCATGGTAACTCCCACAACCAAATTTAACAACTACAAAAATAAAAATAAGACAACCTTCACAAAAGAAATCAAATTTATTACAAAAACACAACCCCAGCATTCTGAGGATAAATCCAAAGTGCCTGCACTAAGCTATAACCTCTTTACTGATGCTTTTTTTCCTTCCCCTTAACAGATTCACAAACTGTAATAACATTTAATCCTCAGAAGCTAATCTAAATGTAACACTCAAAAGAAGACAAAGACAACGCAACTGAAAAAAAAATTTGGCCACTGCCTTTTGGGAGTGCTGCTTTATCCCTGGAGCAAGCGCATTAATAGAGCTTGGAATGAAATGCCATTTTATTCTCTGTAGCGGGGAGGGGATTAGCAAGTTGTCTTCTCTAAACCCAGTCTGAGTCATGGCTCTATGAGCACTGAGAAAAGGATGTGGAACGAAGCGAAGGGCGAGGAGCACTGGCTTTTTATTTACACACCGCTTCTTTTGTGGGTGGTTACTGATGTGCAGTTTGCTAAACAGGGAAGGAAAAAAGTTCCAGGTCCCCAGAGTAATTCTACTGGTTAACAAAAGAGAAAAATAATAATGCATCAATTATAATAACATCATAAAGACAATATGTCCGTGGCAAGAGTCCAATTCACCACAGCATGTAAGCAACAAGGGCAAGTTGCTTAAGGTGCTGAAAGCTGTGCTCACTGGTTTCTTGTTGCTAGGATCTTCTTCCTGGGAGAAAGAGCTCGGACAGAGCCCAGAACAAAGGATGAGACACCAAGGTGGGAGGAATGCAGGAGCAGGCTGGTTTCAGGTGAGGAAATGAGGAACAAAGCATGTCACAGCAGCCAGGCCACGCAGGCATCCTGCCCTGAAGTAGGAACCAGGAGCTAATGACTGTGTCAGTGACTTAATATGAAGCTCTGCACTCAAGCACTTAGCTTCTGTTCCTATACAAATGGAGATGGTTTACCTGCCTATCTTGCAGGCATGCTGCAAAGCATCGCTGGCAGACAGCTTGTGCAGTATTCTTAAATCCTGAAATGCTTGATAATCATTAAGGAGAGAAAATGGTCAAGTGTTCCATGGACAATTTGTGCAGAGCCGTAGATGCTGATAAGGGAGTTTGCAAAAGTCAATAAATGCCAAGAAAATGCTTTTTTTTTTTGTTTCAGGTATTTCTTATCTTTGCTTCAATGCAGACTCTGAAAAAACAGTGCACTCACTATGGAAACAGACCCAACTCCAGCCCTCCCTTCATCCATCAGCTCTACCTACACACATGGCAGACAGCAACAAATACTGTGCAGACTGGTCTCACAATGGACAAGTGCCAGAGGCAGGTCTAAGAGTTCACAGTGAGACAAGGATGGGATAAGGCAGGGATGAGACACTATGGGATGGAGGAGATGCATCTTCCTCGTTAAATGGAGAAAATGCCACTCCTGATCTGCTTTTAATATAGGAGCTGTTGAAACCCAACACTGCAAGCACGCAGACCTGTACTTCATTCATAATTTGGCTACATTTCAGTTCATGTAATTTTTCTGGAGTTATTTGTGTCATCCAAGTTACTAGATCTACATAAATCAGTCTTACCTAGCTTAGCACTTACTGTGTCTGTATGTCTAATGTGAAATTGCAAAACAAGATGAACAAATTATTATTTCCACTGAATTCACAGGACCTTGTAATTTATGACCATAAACAGGCTGCAGACAGATCTGAATGTGCAAGGCCTAAAAAGAGGATCTCGTAACAAGCAAATTTCGAGTCCAACCAAACAAGCACAAATGCTAACACATGAAAGAAGGTCCCCCAACTCCACCCCAGCTATATGGTGACCTCACCCGATGCATGTGCGCTCACTGTGTTTTCTGCATGTTGTACACTGAGGAAACAATCCCAGAAAAGATGGTTGCACACTGCTGTAAGAATCAGACACACAGTGCGAACTGATAGGCTAAAGCAATGATTCTTCCCTCACATTCATTGTCAAATGATCAGCCCTAGACTGTTCTAGCTACGCACCGTCCTAGGCTCCAACACGTAGCCCAGAGCAGTACTGGTTATGGCTTACAACTTGAACTCTAAAGGAATAGTAGTATGATGTTTACTTGCTCCCCCAGTTTCACTAGTGCCACACAGCTTCTCTCTCCTCAGGGCACTTCTCAGCCACGGTGTCTTTTCACAATGAAATTCTAGTAGGGCAGGTGTCCCTCTTGGCTGCCAAAAAGACAGCCCAAGGAATCTGTCCCCTTATCATAGGGGAAGTTCATATGCCGTTCAAACAGAAAAGCATTGTATGGCAAGGCCAGAAGCCAGGGATTAGCACATGTTAAGGGCTCAAAGTGGGAGGAACCCTTCACCCCTTCCCTACCATGAGACCATAACCAAAAAAACTTATTTGAATTCTGAATGAAAAAAAGTCAATTAGTACTTACACTGGCTATGGCCAGCAATGAGAAATGCTTCCATTACAAGAGCATCTCCTATGTTACCAGTTTTCATCTCCACAAGAATCAGAAGAGACCAAATTAAACCTCAGGAATCCAGCTTAAGAATACTATAAAAATAAGTTAAAGTCTGCAATAGGAAGTAAAGAACATAACCCAAGGTCACATCTCTTCCTTTACAAAGTTATAAGATCAAAACATTGTTACATCTATTCCCAACATCTGATCATACGCCTGAAGAAGCAAATTCAAGAGAAAACTCAACTGATCAAAGATTCTCAGAACTTTATGGATTATTAATTTTTTTAAATTTTATTTTAGAACAGTGCTTAAGAATTCTACTATGGAAATCTGTATGAAAATGAATGTGATGTGTTAGCTGCCTTGTTTTGGCTTCCTTAGCAACTTAGTGCTTCACTGTCCAAACAAAAATATGAAATTACAACAGGTTATGCAATGCTTTGGCAGCCAAATTTAATTTTAAATGAAGACAGCACAATATACTGTACACTCCACTAACATATTCATCACTGATATATAATCTATTTATGCAATTAAGTATCATGCAATCTGGACCGGACCCAACTGGACTACATATGTTGCTACTCCAGTTTGCTGCATGTTGGCCAACTGTTTACCCAACTGAGATCTGAGTGTTGCTCGTGACAGTATAATTGCTTTGGATTCATTAATAATAAGGAATTATAGGAAATATTTTTTGACAGCTGTTAGTGAATGTGGAACAATAAGCCATATAACACTACTGGCAAATACAAACGGAATTTAGATACTAAATATGTTCATGGCAAAAAAACAATACAAAAGGTTCACTAATTATACCATGACCAGTTAAGGAGGTCAGAAATATCACTGCACCCATTTTAAGAAAACATCTACGCTAACTACAACTTTATTTGATGGAAATTTACATGGCTACAATTTCAACTACTTATTTTCTTTTTTGGACAAGGAAAAACTTTACAAGTGACATTTTCCATTCTCGCACACAACAGCCCAATGCTGGAATGTATAGGCTAAGTACACTGGGTCAAAGTTGGAGCAGATCGAAGATGTTCCCCTGCTATTATTTTAAAAGCCCTGGTAAATATTCTCAATTTATTTGGATTTTCTACTCCACATCTTCATTCTTGTTCTTCCCTTGCAAGACCTGAAAACTTTATACTAATTTCCATCAAGTTTCGCACAAAAGGAAAGGATGCTGGTATGCAGCTCTTCAGCCTCCTAAATATGTGACAAGAGGTAACTTCACACACTGTTTATCAGATTGTCCAGTGGCTATACACACAGCATCACAAAACACAAGTGGAGCTGCAGAAAAGAACAAAAATGGTTTCTCACTTTATCCATTCCTCTGCCTTGGTGGCTGCCTCCTGGTACTGCTCCGACGTCAGCTTGTAGATTTCTGCATTCTGCAACAAAGAACATAATGCTCAGCTCTAAAAATGAAAGGCATCTCAGCACTTATCCCATCAGGGATATATATCTAATTCCATAATTAATAACCATTTTCAACAACAGAAAGCATGCTCAGTTCAAAGAACACAAAAGAAAAACGCTTAGAAGTTTATTTGCAAGAAAATTCATCAAGGTTGCAACACGTCCAGAGAGATTATGGATGCCCCATCTCCAAAGGCATCCCAGGCAGGTCAGATGGGGCTCTGGGCAGTTTGATCTAATGGGTGGCAACCCTGCCCATGGCAGGGGGTTGGAACTGGATGATCGTTAAGGACCCCTCCAACTCAAGCCATTCTGTGATTCGTGTCTTCCTTACACACTTCACCTTTGTGAAGGAAAAGAGAGGGCTTCGATTATTCCACATACCCACAAAAACAAGGTAGTTCCTACCCTGAGTTATTTTGAGTTAGGCTGTGCTTTGTTCTTTTACATTAATTGCTGTGAAGAATCTTGTAAGTTACTGACGTGCAAAGTATCAAAATTGGCTGCTAGCACAGGAAAATCCATTTTACATTTCAGTGTTTCTACTTATGTTACTTATTCTTTAGAAGAAAATTATGCAGTCTGTTTCCCTTTTAACACAACGTAGGGAGGCATATCAGGTATCAGCTAAAGCTTTGCCAAACAGAGTCTGTAGTGTCTTGCTGCAGGGCTTAAGAGGTTTGCACTAAATTCTCCTGAGCTTGCACAGAAAGTTTTAGTTCAGAGCTGCTCAGTCACTGAGCACTGAGGATGAATTCCTCCTGTGCTGCACTGAGGCCTCCCAAGCAGAGCAGCAGGAGGGAACCACTGTGCATCCCAGCAGCTTTGCTGCGTGGGCTCGTGTCACTGAACTGCTGATGGGGCTGCTGCAGGCAAAGCCTCTGGACTTCATGCTGAAATAGCTGCAATTCCCTCACTCAAAGCTCATCTGTGAGGACTTTAGTCTGAAAAGGCACATGCAGAAAATACGCGACACTCAAAGAAGTGACAAAATGGTACCAAAAGCAAAGACAGCTATTCAGTTAGGGCCAGGTGTAGCTATCTTCTCTCTTCAAATTTGGTCATTCTAAATAGAACACTACTCCTGCCTTTCTTTATTTTCCCATAAAAGCAGCTGTGGTCCTGCACACGGTTAGGCTACACATATTTCTCAGTGGTTAGAGAAAGGACTCTAGAGATATGACTGAAGTTCTATCAACAGCTCTGCCACTGGAGCAGTCTTGGGCAAGTCACTATTTTCCACCTGCAAGCCAGGGATAACAGCTACCTGCATCACTGAAGTTGTGCAAAGCTTGACTAATTGGAAGGTTTGTAAAGTTTTTCAAAGCCTAGACTTCAAGGTGCTATATTTAAGCATTTATCTCTGGTTTTATCTCTGAATGTATGTCACATAATGAAAAAAACCCCACAGAATAGACTTTCCTTCTCCAAACTTTGACCTAGGAGACAGACTTAAAGTGAAAAATCATGGATGAGTAATCACTTCAAAACGCATTTTGCTATCAAAATTGCCATTAATGTTTTCATTTACTTACTTGCTACACACCGGTCAAACTTCTATGCTATTAAACCCATTTTATTCTTTCCTATAATGAAAAAGTTCAGCTTTTAATGGAGCCTTTTCCCTGTCCTGTAAACAGACCTCACGACTTTCAGCTCCCTGCTGTTACTTATTCACACATGAAACCACAAGACCTGTGCTCCATTAATTAAATTTGCCATTAAAAATTAAATAATATGAGTAAGTAGATGTAAGCGTTATCTCCATGGGTTTCATAAGCCTCACCGTTTCCCCCAATTACTAACCAAGCAATTTTCATATTTCATACTGTCTGATTTCTCAAAGGGACTGGATTTGAGAGATCAAAATGAGAGAAAGCGGGAAAGTGAGAAAGCAAGGTAGTAAAATTAAACATTTTTCAGGCAATAGGAAGTAGCCCCGTCAGATACTATTAGCTTGCAGCACTCTGCAGTAAAACAGCAGCAGGAGAGGAAAACAGGAACAAATTCGTTGTACGTGAGACCCAGCATGAGGTTGGCATTTAACCCACCTAAAGAAAGAAAAAAAATAGCCAACAGATTCATTTGCTGATTGCACTGTCAATTAAAGTGGATGCAGCACAATCTTGCCCAGTTTATTAGGGAGAGTTCATCTGCCCAGTACTACAGCCAGCCCCATCTTCAACTAAATCAGCTGCATATACGGACAAAAATAGCTGGGAAAGAAACCAGTATGAAACAGCTCCGGAGCCTGAAGCTGATGAAAAGCAGGCAAGTGAGAACCTGAGCAGAGAAGCAAGATTCTCAGCAAGAGGAAGACTGGCCTCAAAGAAACCACAAGGAACATGGCACAACGCGAAGATCAAAAGGGGGCACAGACATTCAACCTAAAGCTGAAAGCTGCTCTGTTTTACAAATTAAAAGGATCCAACTGCATGGAATTTAACTGACCCTCTTGTGCTGGATCAGAACTGTTCCCCTTCTTCCTCCTCCTTTCCCTTCAAAAAGCCTAAAACCCAACCAAGCAGTATTTCCGATGCCATGAATCATTATCTTCAAATGCTTCCTCAAGTAAGAAAAACAGTTTTACCATTTAAACCCGAGTTTGTTCAACAAGAGGGCTTGTTAAACAGGTTTCCCATGGCCTCCAGGCCTCTTGGGAAAATGGCGTTTACTTCAGTAGCAAAGAAGAGCCTTTCAGCACAGTCACGGCAGGTTCTGTTATTTGGGAACAAATTTCCCAATATCCTCAATCTATACAACTCCAGATGCAAGATCTCTTTCCTCTCAGTGTTTTGCCCCACTGTGCTCTGGCAGTGCACAAAGTTTCAATGTCTAACAAACTGCGTGACTTAAGGTTGCACATGAGGAAGCAAGCCAGGAACCACCGAAAAACTTCCAGTGTCTCCAGCAGAGCCATCCACCCACCAGGGCTCCTCAGCCAGATCAAGGTGCAGTATTTGCACTTAAAAGGAAAGCAGAGCTGCCCATGATCTTAGCAAAGACCTTCAACTTCCTCAAACAATATTCAGTCTTACAGCAGAACGTTCAAAACAAAATTAGAGGACACCCATGCAGCTTTTAATTTATTCTCACAATATTCTATGCTTGAGATAAAATGGCAGCCCACAAAGAAAAAGTTGAACATGAGACCTTAACTATTATTAAATAAAGCTTCTGGCAGTCTTAGTTGCAGAAATAAGCTAAAAAACATGACCAAAAGACACTGTAAGGGCTAAAATAACAAGAGACAAAGAAAGAATGAATGAACCACCTAAAATGTTTCACTTCTCTCAATAAAGCTGAGCCTTAGGGGAGCCAACCTCAGAACATGAGAGATGTCATATGGGGAGAGAGCTCTCCAGAGAGGATGAACAACCAAAACAAAGAAATGTTAGTTTGAAAGATTTTCCCCTGCTATTAAATGATGGTTCGTAGCAAATAATAAAAACACTGAGAAGTTATAAAAATACATAACTAGAGCCTAAAGACCAACAGAACCACTTTCCTTTACCCTGCTGCTTTGCTGCAACAGCTTAGCTGCTATATATTCTTGCCCCCTACTCTTCCCTAGAAGCCTTTGGACTAAAAATTCCCTTTCCAAAGGAAACTGGATTTAAAACTTGAAGCCATATTTTCCCAGCGTTCCTCCACCACTACATCTCACTACACTGCCCAGGTCCTCTCCACAACATAAAGCAAATGAATCAAGAAAACAACATAGCAAAAGGAGTTCTCAGGGCTATTTCAGGAGGGAAAGTAATTGAAGCACAAAGAGAAAACCCTGCCAGCTCATTCTCACACCGACATTAAACCACATTCCTTAAACTTCAGTAAAACATGCGGTAACACGTAAGACAAAACTAAGTATCGTGAGCATGAGGAACTAGAAATGAATTAGATTGTAGGCACAATTTTTGGCAAACATCAAGCAGCAGCAAAAAACTGAGCCTGGGATATAGATTTCTCCATCAGGTTCAGATTGGGTCAATAGATCAGAAGGTGTTGGGATTAAAAAAGTAAAAAAGTCACCAGAGCTATCTTCAGATATTTTGACACCTGAAAGCATGGGAGCTTGTCAGCGGTCACAGTGCTTAAAGATACAAAGAGGATTAACAGCTGTTGAAATGCTGCCAGCCTAGATGAATGCTAGCGATACCTCTGATGAAATGGAGCAGGCCAGCGGAGGCCTTGACAAATGCTGCAGACAACAGCCAGGGATTAGATGGCACAATCTGCCTCGCACCTGACAGACACATCGCTTCCATCCCCCTCCTGATGTCGGCTCTCGCCAGCTTCCAGCAGACCTCCAAGCACAAGATGCAGTCACGCTGGGAGGAGCGTGAGAGCCACAGCCACATTAAGGGAGAGAAGAGGGAAAGGAAAGCAGAGCTTACTGCTCCTGGATCCAATGACATTCAAATTCCTCCTTCTGACTGCTTCTGAAGTACAAATAAGACTGCACCTCTCCCTGATAAACTAGCACACAACTGCTGTCCAGCCACATGTTTGGGGACAGGGAGTGCAGTGCTCTGGGTATGGCGCAGCCAGGGGAGCAGCAGAAAGCTACAGAAAATCCAAAGCTGGCACTGACTGAGGAAGTCTGTTCACATCTGCCTCAGGGAAGTGAAGATGCATTCAGGGTCTCCCAGACTTCCCCAAATTGCTGGTTCACACACACTATAAATCAGTTAGTTCTCATCTCTCTGAAGTCTCATGCAAATGCTCCTAACAGATCTGAAAAATTACTGCACCTCCAGGTACCCCTCCCACAGGAACAGAGGCAGATGAGCCGAACTCATCATCTTTTTGCTTTGTGACCCTTTGGATCTGTTGCAATCAACCTACACCATCAATCACTGCTTTCAACCTTGGCCCAGAACTGGGAGCTCAGGAATTCCAGGACATGTTGCAAGAAACAATCTCTGCATTTTACTAAAAGACAGCACTTGTGCTTGATAGGAATGAGAAA